AACACTTGTTCTGAGGGAAACAGAAATCAATCTTTCTCATTTTCTTCATCTCTTTGGTAAAAGTGCAAAAGGTGTGGGGTTTTAAAAATTTATTCTTATTTTTGAGATGGGGATGGATCTCACTGTGTAGCTTTCTGTGTTCTGGAGCTCACTACATAATCACTATGTAGATTACATTACCTCCAATCTCACAGAGCTCTGCCCACCTCTGCTTTCTAAGTGCTGAAATTAAAAGTATGCACCACCATTAAAAAATAAAATCCATAATAGCATGGATTTTGGGCCTTTCTATTTTCTATATGCTTTTTTGGTGGCATGATTAAAACACTCAGGTTTTGATTTAATAATATTTAAGTTTTCCCCACCAATTTAAAGTTTTAGTTCTCTTAGATATGTAATCTTTATATTCTGAAAATATATTCTTTGTTAAATAAATGTTTTTACCTGTATGCTCCTTTAGACTGTGGTTTGACTATATCCTTTGTTCTTAATAGTATCTTTGTAATGTTTTTGAGAATTTCAACAATGAGTATACTCTGTTTACATTATTTCCACCTCTGTCTGTCCTCCTTCCAACTCCTTTTCCCTATTCTGCCTTTTTGAATTCATGACCTCTTGTTCTATAACTATTTGTATATGTATACACACACAAACACACCCTCCAGAGTCCCCTGTTACTTATAGATATATTTGTTTAGGACTGACCACTTAGGATTGGGAAACCTATTGGGGGCTTGTCCCTGGAGAAAATGGATTCTCCCTTCCTTGAGAGCCATTGAGTGCCTATAGCTCTTCATATAGAGGTGAGACTGTGTTGAGATTTTTCTTTATGTTGTTATATTGACTGATGTGATGGTTTCAAGTCTAATTCAGTCAGCCATACTGTTGATGGGTACAGCGTCTGTGCCATGTCTTTAAGACATCATCTCACAGTAGCTGTCCTGATTTTTTTGGTGCTTATGATCCTCCGTGATGTTCCCTGAACTGAACCTTAGTTGCAGGAGTTGTGTTGTAGATAACCCTTTTGAAACTGGGCATGTCTCACAGTCAGTAATTCTCTGCTGCGAAAAGAAATTGCTTTGACAAAGGGTGAGAACTGTGTCTAAGGATACAGTTGGAAGCTATAATGGTTTAGGAAAATGGCAGTAGTAGGTTCTCCCAGTAATAGGGTTTGACCATTCCGACCATAGGTTTTTCACTAGGCTTACAGTACCAGGTATGAGGTCTCTATTATTGAGCAGCCTTAAGTCCAGTTAGACATCTGTTGGTTACTCCCAGAATATAAGTGCCATTGTTGCACCATTGGGAGTATCTTTCTCAGCTTGCCATTTTTGTGATTTACACATTTTACAGCTGGGTAGGATTGTTGATTACTTTTTTCATCTGGCAGTGTGTATGGCACCTTCTGGTACTATGAGAGCTTAGTCATTAGGGAGGAGGCTTCTAGATTGATCTCTTATTTCTATAATCAAGAGTGTGTCATGTCTTTAGCAGCAGGGTCTCACCTTCAGAAGGCAGCCAACGATGATGGTAGTAACCTGTATTACTTTAGGGTGTCTCTTGTGGTCTCCCGATTAACAACTTGAAGGAAATGTTTCTTGCCTGGAACTTGGGTTTTTGTTAGATTGTGTTGGATAATCCCACTGCTTGTCTGTCTGTCACCCTACCTGTTTGATTATTATCTGTCTAATCTATTGTTTCCTTGTGGCTTTTTCAAACATGTTCTTCCCTCCTTCTCCTTCTGTATTGTCCCCCCTTCCCCTACTCTAGTTAAGTCCTTCCCCTTTAAGTCCCTCCCTAGTTAAGTTTATTTCTTGCTTTCCCCCTTCATATCTGTCCTACTATCCCTTTTTCTAGAGTTCATTCTACCCCACTTCCCACATTGTCCTTTTCTGCCTTCTGCTTCTGTAATGTAGTATGAATTTTTGGAGTATGATGTGAATGCAAGCACCATTTGTACCACCAAACAAATAATGAAGGTCAGAGGACAACTCCCTTAGGAATTAGCTCTCTCGTTCCATCATGGTTTCCAGGGATCAAGCTCAGGCTATCAACCTTAAATCACAGGTGCCGAGACATCTTGGCTTCCTGGAGTTTTTAAACTTTTCCTTATGTTCAGAGAACATGGCCTCTAAGTTCTCCATGATGGTGTGTCTTGGTAAACATAACATGTGTATTTTCAGGCTATCTACTCCTCAGCAATTAAGTATAATCCTGCAAATATCAAGGTGATTAATACATTCGGTATTTTCATTTCTTTATGTCCAGTTTTGTCACTGCTAAGAGAGACATTCTAAGATTTTATTTGTTCATCTCTCTTTAGTTCTGTCCTTTACCCCTTGTGTTTTTTTTTTTTAAAGATTTATTTATTTATTAAGCATACAATGCTGGCAAGGAAGGCACCAGGTCTCATTACAGATGGTTGTGAGCCACCATGTGGTTGCTGGGAATTGAACTCGGGACCTCCGGAAGAACAGCTAGTGCTCTTCCCCTCTGAGCCATCTCTCCAGCCCCCACCCCTTGTGTTTTAAATTCTGTTACTAGTTGCATACAAATCTACTATTGTTCTATCCTAAGACCTTGTTTGTAAGTTTAGTGGGGAGGTTCAGCTCCCCTTAATGGAATGTATATGAGAAACACACTGGAACACTGAGGGTAAAAGGAGACACGTCCTAAGATACCCAGATTAGCAAAGCAGCTCTGTTGATTAGTGGGATTACAAATGTTGAGCCAGATTGCCCTCAGGTCCTCATGCATCTCACCTAGCCCTTTTGGTTTTTGAGAAAACATATAATAAACATTGTGATTATAAAGCTTATGAATTCTTGCCATCTTGGAAGGCTTTGTTTTGGTAGGCATTTACCTTGTTGAAGACAATTGTTAAAGCTGTCTTCTTAGTACTAGCCTGTCGTAGAGCAATTGAACACTTTTCAGTTCTTCCAGCTGTTCCATTTTGGTTCAGTTCCTTAGCACTACCTCGTGCAGGTTGGGTCAGCATCTTTGAGGGCTTATCTCTTAAGTGGTTTCTTCCGTCATCCCTCTTTGCACATCTGCCTTCTAAATGTATATCCACACACTGTCCCAGAAATCACACTTTAACCATCTCATGTTACTTAGACTCTGTGAAATCAGATAGTGTCTTCAGGAGAAAAATTGCAAATTTGCAAATACTATGTTTGGTTATTTGTTTTGCAGTGCTGGGGATTAAATCTGGAGCACTGGTGTGCTAGGCAAATAAATGCTTTCTCTGACCACTGATAGATTTGTTTCACTTTGGTGTTCAGTTTCTTACTGTTATTATTATTGTTATTAATTGGTTTGGATTGGTTTTGTGTTTATTTTTGATTTCTTAAATTTTATTTAATGCTTTTAAATTACAGACTTTGGTGCAGTCATGGTATTCGACCACTGGGGGAAACCAAACCTCCAAAGCATTGCATTCTAATATTTAAGATTTTATTTTTAGAATAATTTTAGATTTTCAGATAACTTGGGAAAATAGAAAGTACCCATTTATGTTCTGCATATAGTGTCCTCTGCTATTAATATTTTACATTAGTATGGTACATTAGTTAACAGTTATAAGGCCAGCTATCAAAACTCCATTGTTTATTCCGATTGTCTGAAAGTTTTCTAAGCATCCTTTTGAGCTACAGGATTACATTCTTACTAATCACATTACATTTAGCTGTCATGCTTCCTATGTCCTTGGCTGTGACAGTTTTTCATACTTAATTCTTTTGAAATATGTTTTAAATTAAAATAGAATTATAGGGCTGGAAAGATGGCTCAGTGGTTAAGAGCACTGATTGCTCTTCCAGAGGACCTGGGTTCAGTTCCCAGCACCCACAGGGCAGCTCGCAGCTGTCTGTGTCTCCAGTTCCAAGGGACCTGACACCCTAACACCAGTGCACATAAAAATAAAATTAAATAAATTAAAAAAAATAATAAAAAATAAAATAGAATTATATCACTTTTCTTCCTACCTTTCCTCTTTCCAGCCCCTCCCAGGCACCCTCCTTTGAACCTCTTCCATGCCTCCCACATGCATACAAGTATGTATGTACATGTATGCACAAACAAGTATGTATGTATATATAACACAACTTGCTGAATCTGGTATTGTTGTTTATATATATGATTTCAAGGCTAACTACTTTGCATTGGACAACCAATGAGGAGGCTCATCCCTGGGACAGGCTAGTTTTCCTCTCCCAGCAATCATTAATTGCCTATAGTTCTTTTTCCAGGGTTGGGACCTCTTGAAATTTTCTCATTATTGACATTCTTCCCATCTTGTTTTTGTAGACATTTTTAGGAGAAACTGTTTCACAGCATATTTCTTAGTGTTCTGCTCTTATAGTCTTGTAGCCCCATCTTCATAGATGTTTTCTGAACCATAGATGCGAGAGCTGTGCTGCAACTCTATTGGATCTGGATTTACCATGGTCTATTCTGCTTTGTGTCTAGGTGTGGCTTCCTGGGATGGTCTCCATTTTCTATAAGGCGAGGTTTCTGTGATGAGCAATGGTAGCTACACTTATCCGTGGGTATAAGGAGAAGATTTAAAGTTTGTAGTAAGAAATTGTGCTGGTTTGGCAAAGTGGTGGTAGTAGATTCTTTTCTAAGGTCCATGACCTCACTAGCCCCTGGAATTGGGCTGGAATTGGTACTAGATATGATTTTCCCCCTTCCATTTAGACAGCTGTTGTTTGCCACTACCACATGAGTGCCATTTAGTGCACTTTTTTTTTTTTGCATATTTTGCAATTCTGGTAATTGTGTAATGTGCTTTTGAGTATTGAACCTAGCTCAGTCTTGCTAAACATTGTGCCACCATCAAACATCCACGCCCTCCATCCCTGCCTTTGCTTTTGATGACCTTGATTTTTTTTATAGTGTAAAGCTAAACACATTTTATCAATTTTGAAATTGAATTGAGTACAAACCAAATAAAATTTACAGCATAACAAACATGTCCACCTAGGACACTTGAGCCTAAAAATAAGGAATGTGTCACGAATTTGTGTGCCATCCTAGCGCAGGGGCCCTGCTGATCTTCTCTGTATCGGTCCAGTTCTAGTATATGTGCTGCCGAAGCAAGCATGACCTTGATGATTTTAAGAAATACTTTACAGCCTTAAAGGATGTCCCTTTACTGAATTCGCTTGAAGCTTTCTCATAAACAGACTGAGGTTTTAGGTGTTGGGTAGAAAGATCACAGAGGAAAAGTGTTGTGTTGTTTTCTTCAGTGCTGGCGATTGAACCTAGGACCTTGAGAATGCTAAGCAAATCTTCTACCCCAAACCCAGAGGGGTGTTTTTATTACACTGTATCAAGGGTAATATATTAACATGGTTTATAACTGTTCAACCTTGATCACTTGGCTGAAACAGTGCTGGTTCGAAATTAAAACTCTTAGAAGCTAAAATTGTTTTAGGAAAAAAAAACAGCTTGTGTATTAGTGCTTGGTGCTGGTTAACCCTACCATTTCTAAAATGCAGCACAAGCCATTCATTCATTTCCTTTTCAGGGTTAGGGGGTGAGGTTTTAAGGCAAGGTGTCTGTCACTGTGTAGCCTAGTCTGGCCTGGAACTTGAAATCTATTTGACTCAAGCCTTCCAAGTGTTGCATTGCAGGTGTGTGCCACCATACCCAGCAAATGTTCATAGAAGACTTTAGGAAAAGGTGATGAAATAAAGAAATGGCAGAGATAGTATACTTTTTTGTTTGTTTGTTTGTATTTGTTTTTTTCAAGATAGGGTTTCTCTGTGTAATAGTCCTAGCTGCCCTGGAACTAGCTCTTGTAGGCCAGGCTGGCCTTGAACTCAGAGATTCACCTACCTGCCTCTGCCTCAGTGCTGGGATTAAAGGCATGCTCCACCAAGTTAGTGTACTTTAGAGTACAAACACTTAAATGGGTTCAAACAGTATAGCCTTCTATGTCAAGGAGATCTGACTCTAAGTCCACTGGGCATTTAGCAATGCTGGTGGGATTCAGATCATTTGTATACTCTTCTATATGAGCTCTTGGTGGGTTGATTTCTGCTTTTAGGTTCTTTATCTCAGGTTATGACTTTTGGGTATGACAGTCTTGTACAACCTCTGTCCAATAAAGGAGTGACTTTTCTCTATTTTACTATTTTTGTCGAGAAAGGGTGTCTCATAGAATTCTCCAAGCAGATGTCTCCTTGGACTAAATCATGATTGTCCAAATGTAACTAGGAAGCTTTAAAGCAAAATGTGTCATTTTTAAGTATCTGAGATGGCAGGCAGTGTTATTTGCAAGAAAGATGTCTGTGTCCCTGTTAGGTTGAAACAGGTTTTATTTGTAGCAGGCTTAGGAAAATGTCCTGGACGGAGGCAGGGAGAGGGTGTTAGTATGAACTAGGAGTCTCTGAAAGAAAGGATAGAGAGGAAAGCCACCTCCCAGAGGTTCACAACCAATCTTAGCTTGGGACAGTGTGTTATCTAGACAAGATAGAGCATTGCAGGCATAGCAAACCAACTGCAAAGATGAGGGCATGCTGAGCACTGAGGCAAGTGAACCAGAGGACATAGTGAGCTGAAAGAAAATGAATGCAGGTAAGGGGGGAAAGTGTAGACAGGAAGGAATTAATTACGGAGAAGATGTTTTGAAAAGACCCTAGGGCGTCTGGGTCATATAGTGGAATTTAGTGATTTTTGAGGAGTCACTCTGGTTTCAGGCCTGGCTGAGTCTTGTTAAAACTATTGTTCTTGCCAGGCCTTATGACTTCTTGTGAAGAACCCTGGAAAACTTGCTCAACCTGTGGTACTGAAATGACATTTCTAGATTTTGTCACAGCAGGTGGTAAACTACTTTTGAGGTCAGTTTTCACCATAGACCTGGTGACAGTTCTATAATAATCTGCTAGAGTTGGATCCTTGAGCACACTAGGCCTTTGCGACCCCTGTAAAACCTGCTTTTCACTAATGTCATCCAAAGCACGGTTTTTGCTTTATCTTTTCTGTATAACTCATGATGGAAGCCTTTAAAAGCAATATTTTATCCTCCCTACAATTAATTAAAAAAAATTTTTTTTTCCTCTTTAATTTTTCCTTCTGGAAAGGAAGAGGAGGCTGCCAAATGGGCCCGAGAAGAGGAGGAAGCACAGCGCCGACTGGAGGAGAACCGCCTGCGCATGGAAGAAGAAGCAGCCAGACTTAGGCATGAGGAAGAGGAACGAAAACGGAAGGAGCTGGAGCTGCAGCGACAGAAGGAGCTGATGCGCCAGAGGCAGCAGCAGCAAGAAGCCCTTCGAAGGCTGCAGCAACAGCAGCAGCAGCAGCAGCTTGCACAGATGAAGGTATAATCCTAGACCTAAGAGGAGCCACTTATGTTAAATATTATGTTGGCTATTTGGTTCATCAACAATGTATGTCTGTCTGTGTATGTTGTTAATTGTTTAATTGAAAGGCACACACATGTGATAAGGATGGAACAAGCAGTGGCAGAGCACAACACAAGCCACTTTTTTCTTTCTTTCTTTCTTTCTTTCTTTCTTTCTTTCTTTCTTTCGTTCGTTCGTTCGTTCGTTCGTTCGTTCGTTCGTTCGTTCGTTCTTTCTTTCTTTCTTTCTTTCGTTCCGTGACAGTTGAAATGCCTCCTCTTTACCATTTCAGCACTGCTGACAGGAAAATCAAAGAAAAGAAAGTGCTCTGCAGCCTGGGAGGGGCAGCAGGCATGACAGCATCCTGGTTTTTGAGTGGGACCCACAACACAGCACTCAAACACAGTTGCCTTTGGGGTCTTACTAAAAATTGCTTAAAGACAGGCCAAAGATGGTGGCACAAACTTTAATCCCAGAACTCCAGTGACAGAGACAGGCAAACCTCTTAAGTTACAGGTCATCGTGGTTTACATAGCAAGTAGGCTTGAAGGTTAGAGACACTCCCAAATCTCTAAGTGAAATCTTGAAAGCTGGAGAAATTACTTGGTGGTTAAGAGTGCTTGCTAGCTACTTTTCCAGAGGATTCCCATTGACCACATTACATGGCTCCCAAACACCTATTAACTCTAGCTCCAGAGGATCCTATGCCTTTTTCTGGCTCTGCTAGTGCCTGTACTAACATGCACACAATACACACACACATACATAATTTTAAAATAAATATTTAAATAATTTTTTAATTTTATGTACATTGGTATTTTACCTGCTTGTATTTCTGTGTGAGGCTGTTGAATCCCTTTGAACAGGAGTTAGAGACACTTGCGAGCTGCCATGTGAGTGCTAGGAATTGAACCCAGGTCCTCTAGAAGAACTCCCAATGCTCTTAACTGCTGAACCATCTTTTTAGCCTCCTAAAATAAATCTTTAAAAAGTAAATTTAAAAGCTAGTCCAGGGCTAGAGAGATGGCTCAGCAGTTAAGAGGACTAGCTGCTCATCTAGAGGTCCTGAGTTCAATTCCCACCAACCTCATCGTGGCTCACAGCCATCCATAATGAGATCTGGTAGAACACTGTATACATAATAAATAAATCCTTTTTTTTTTTTTTAAAAAAAAAAAAAGCATGTCCAGAATAAGGAATGAGATAAATATGGACAGGGCCCCTAATGTCATAGCTGTATATACTCTAGCAAAGGATTAGAACTTAAAGGTATGCAGAACATGGAATAACACTCTCAGGTTTGCAGGCGAGCTAAATGGGGGATGAACATGAAGGAAACAAACTGTAGGTTAGCAGGCTACAGTCAGACAAGAGACAGATGTCCTAATTGAAGCCTGTTTAGTTGGGAAGGAGGAGTTACTGGCAATACCATTAATTATTGAGTACTTCCTTTCTTAGGTACCATACCAACAGTTTTCCGTGTGTCATATCACTTCAGAGTGTTTTCTCACAAAGCTTAGATATTGATAACCTACATTTTACTGAAAAAGAAGCTGAGTCTTCCAGGATTTATCCCTACTGCTCATTCTGACTTTTTGGAACCCATTCTCTTTGGAGGGATACCTTGCTCAACCTATCTAGATATATTGGGGAGGGTCTCGGTCCTGCCTCAAAGCAATGTGCTAGACTTGTTGACTCCCCATGGGGGGAAGCCTTACCCTCTCCAAGGAGTGGATGGGGGTGGGGAGGGGAAGTAAGGTAGAGGAAGCAGGAGGGAGTGGGAATTGGATTTGGCATGTAAAATGAGAAAAGATTTTTCTAAATAATTAATTTTTTAAAAAAAGAAGCCGAGTCTTTTGTTGAGCCAACCAAGAGTTGGTAGCAGAGCCATGTAAAGTTAATCCAGATACCTTTAAAATAGTTTAAAACTATAATTTAATTTACAGAGAAGAACAAAGAATTCCCTTTAGAAAACCAGACTTTGAAAATTCAGGTTTTCAGGACCACATGTTTATATTCTATTTTGCTCATTAATGTAAAGGATATATAAAGTGGATTGTTGGGTTTTGTTTGTTTTTTTGCTCCAAAACAACTTAATTTTTATGACTAGGGCTAGGACTGCATTGTAGCCTGGTTGTTAGCAGGTGCTTTTCTTCATAAGATTCGGAATGAAAACTGCTTGGCCCCTTTATTCGCTATCTAACTCAGCTTAGAAATCCTGGGCTTTAAATTCACTCACTAGGTCCTTATATCATGTCCTTATGGTCTTTATCCATTAAAAGTCATGTTTTGGTTTTTTCGAGACATGGTGTAACCTTGGCTGTCCTAGAACACTGTAGACCAAGTTGGTCTTGAACTCAGAGAGATCCACCTACCCCTGCCTCCTGAGTGCTGGTATTAAAGGTGTGTGCCACCAATGCTCAGTGGATTAAAAAACATCTTAAACTCTGTTTAGTCACTCTTTGTTACTCCTTATGATTTTGATTCTGGATTACTAGTTGTGTCGATGCTCAGTGTAACAAATTTCCACCCAAATGGGAGAGCGAGCATTAATACATGTGCGTATTTTTTAGTTGTTTTAAAATAAACATAAGTTGGGAGAAATGAGCAAAAGAAGCAAGCCAACTGAGAGATTATTGTGGAAAAGGAATTTTTAAGTGAATTTTGGTTTTTTGTTTGTTTGGTATGGTTTTTCAAGACAGGTTTTCTCTGTGTTAACAGTCCTAGCTGTCCTGGAACTAGCTCTTATGAACCA